ATGTATTCATTCAATTTATATGGCTGCCCATCTCACATACCTGACTCTGGGCAACTTACCATTTTAAAATAAATAAAAAATATATACAATTACTAAAGTAAACTTAAAAGTGAAACACATAAAAAAAAGTGTGGCAACTGAAGAATCATAAAAGGCCTTCAACATAGCCAGGAAATGGGCTCCATCACACACACCCAGGGCCCCAGGCTCAGGCACAGAACCAGGTCTTCAAGTCTTTCTGAAAGCCCCTTCCAAAAGGGGGGCGAGCCAAATCTCAAGAGGAATGATGTTCCAGAAGCAGAAAAGTCTCTTTGGGCTCCGCCAGCAGACACTCCTTGGCCAACAGTACCCACAACGTGTCTCTCCTGCTGGATCAGATAGGATAGGTAGAAACAATCAGGAAGACACGGACATGTAATTCAATTAGAAGAGTAATTCACACATAATGATTATACTTATCACAAGTTCTTCAATATTACAAAAATTGTATTTTACATTTCTCATACAACTAAAAGTACTAAGGGAAATTCTATCTAAGAAGCTTATAAACTCCAAATTTGTAAGACTGAATATGGTAGATAATCTAGATCAACATTAGAAGTGTAAACAAGTAGGTTATTCCATATAAACAAATACAGTAGGTATTTGTGCTTGTAACTCCATTTGAAACATTACTGTTAGAAGTTATTTTTTCCAATATAACAATTATTTAAATTGCTAAAATAAAATATTAGTTGCCAGGAAGCTATAGTGAAATTACATATGTTGTCCTGCATTCTTCTGTTTAAAAAAAGCCCACATATGTGAATGGTACTTCTTGTTTCCTTAATTATCCTCTTTCTTTCCTTGTGTCAAGCTAGTCCTTCCCAAAATTGAGAATCAGGATATTAAAAGCAAAAGAAATCAGTGGAAATATAAATGGCCACAGAACTTGATTTTGTTGAAGGCTAAGAGAATTAGTTTGTAATTACTAAAATAGCATGCATACAGACATCCTTTTTTAATACATTTTTTCTTTTTTAAATTTCTATCTTTAAGGTCGTCATCGGTGGGTCATCTATACTGATGAAATGAATGGCAAGAACACATACTGGGACTTAGATGGAAGCATGATACCTCCTGAATGGTAAATCAGATAGTTTGATACATACATTTATCTATATGTTTTTATTAACCTTGTGAAACTGGTATCTCAGAATAATTCTGTTTATCTGAGGTAAAGCAGGGAAATTAATTTGAGACTTTTAAACTATACTTCAGCCTCTAATCCTCTACCAGCAAACGTATCACTAGAAATCTGAAAACTGTCAGGATCATCAGAATGTTATATTTGTCTTCCTGACCACCTTGATCTTGCTATCCTGGGAGTGAGCTGGCATTTTTCCAGAAATAAATCTGGAATAAGAAGTGGTTCATGCTGTATGCTGTATTTTGAACATCCTATATTTTACCAGATACAGTATAGCACATAATTCAGGAGCTGTAATTACTACAGATCAGTGAAAGTGTTTAGTTCAAACCAAACATCATTAAATATATTTTTTTTTTACTGGAAACTGACCAGTGTCTTTGGTTTTATGTACCTGTGGTATGATTAGTAACATTATGTGGAAAAATTAAATTGCTTCATTTGGTTTTTTATCATGGTAAAGTCTTAAGGAACATGTTACAACAGATTTGCTAATACCAAAAACAATGTTACATATGAAGTTCCATAGCCTGCCTTGGTTGTTATGGAAAATACATGATTCAGATAATATAATGTTGCCTTCCATTTTCCTTTAAATTTAGACTTGAGAGAGAGACATGATAGTCCAAACAGCTACCATAATAATTGTGCAAATTTACTATAATGCCTACTTTGTGCTTTAGAGATGAGGCACAGTGCCTATCATCTTTTTTTTTTTTGCCATATTCTTCCTTTATGGTCTAATCTATCAACTGCTAATTGCTTTGAAAACCTATGTATATCAATACTTCCATTCTTAATCAAGGTTCCCTTCATTGAATATTCTGTAAAACTGTTGGATATTTTCAACTGCACCAGCATTGATAAGCTTTAAATATTACATGAAGATTGCTCTTTTCCCATTCTTTCTTATTATTTAACAACAATCACTTTGCTGCTTTTATTTAACTTTGTTCTTGTAAGTACTTGTTCTAAATTTTTAGGTTTGCTTAGTATTAATGCTACATTATGCTAATTTATAAGACCTGCATATTTAAAAAATGCTTTGCAAGAAATGTTTTGGTTAAAGGAGGCCTGTCTTTCAGTCTTGCACTGAAGCCTGGAAAAAAGATACCACTGTTTGGAAGAGGCCATATAAGTTTTCTAAATAGATAAAATAAAGAGGTGCTGTGCTTCTGGTTCCACAGGTTCTGAAATGCTTACTTGTCAGAAGTAGGTTTCTCTTGGGCTACTGGATCTGTACTTCAAAACTCCTGATTACCATTAGTTGGCAGCAGAAAGGTCTATAAAACTAAGTATTTTGCAGCCCAAATGTCATAGCACTAGCTTTGTCAAGGTTGTTGAATGGTGAGAAATTGCCCTTGGTTTAGTGACAACTCTTTCAGTTCAATCAGTATGATTTTAAATTTATCAAATGTAAAATTTAACTGATGAGTCTGCATGATTTTTAAAATGTAGCTATTTTTAATGTTTTGGGTAGTATAACTGTTGCCCATAAAACATGGTTTGTTGTGAACCTGTATATGCAAATATATGTCCTTCGGTGCAATTAAGAAATTTGTAGCTGTATTTTTTTCTTTCTAAGGCATCGTTGGATTCACTGTATGACAGAAGAGCCCCCAACAACACATCCACCAGTGAGTCGTAAATTCATTTTCCAGAATCATAAAATAAATGAAAGTGGTACTCCTAGACAGTATGTACCATACTCTACAACCCGTAAGAAGATACAGGAGTGGGTTCCACCATCTACGCCTAGCAAGTGAAAGAAAAAGAACATGGTGATTTATAAAGAAAAGTTTGTTGGTGTGTATCTATCTTTATTTAAAATAAAGGCTTTGATTAAAAATATTTTGAAATCAAAATATTGATGGGAGCTAGTTGAGTAATGGATGGGCAGAAACAGAATATATAATATGTTGTAAAACAGTAAAGGACAGGAAGGCTTGGCGCGATATGATTCATGGGGTCACGAAGAGTCGGACATGACTTAATGACTGAACAACAACAAAAACAGTAAATGTTTGTGGAATATTTTCGTAGAATTGAGAGTCTGGTAGAATCCAGTGGCATCAATTACAAAATATTGTCACATATATTTCTAATATAATAGATTTACTAACCAGTATTTAAATAAATTAGATTTTGAGACTGCCCAACTCCTGGGATTCTGGGAGGCCTACAATTAAAAGAAAACAATATATATCAAACAAGAATACAGTTGATCACGCACACACTTCCAAGGCCTAGGAAAACACCCCAAGTTTTCAACAGTTTACATAAAGTCACTAAGGGGAAGTAGTATAGATCTCTGAGAGGATGTCATTCCAGAAGATGGATGGGGCTGCCATTGAGAAGACACACTTCCTGTTTGATTGACAGGACCTGGAATGTGCCTACTTGATTTCATCAGATGGGTGAAAACATGGAATAATGGATGTTTATCCATATTGTCATTATAGGATATATAAATTATTGGATATATAAATCAGATGCAGAAAAAGTTCAAGTCACACAACGTGCAATGGAAAAACTAATGCTAAAGTTCTTACCCAGAGATTGAATCAGAAGTGAGGAATGTCAACTATGGACTAACTTCAAACATGTCATGAAAATAGTATTGAAACAAATATAAATGGGCAGGACACTGAGATAACCTCCTACAAAATAGAAAGATGGACCACAGAAAAATATCTTGGTTCCATCTGAAACAACATAGCAAGCGTACCTAATGAAATATAAATGTCTGATGAATGTCATATATTAACACTATCTGGGTGAATACAATAAAGTGAAAGTATATAGAAGGTTTAAATTAATAGTACAGTCTAATAAGAAATCAGTCATTTTGTTTCTTTTTTGATATGATCTGGAAACAGTATAACTGTTATATCGTTCAGTGCAGGATGTTGTGAAGTGCTGCAAATTAACATCCTTTTGAGATTTGTCTAAAGGACAAGCAACAGTGTAAAAATGGTGAACTTCAATTGTGTATTGGTAATGTCAGTAGTATATTCTAAACATAACTAGTAATAATCAAATTCTGAGCTGCAATAGTTTTTACATCAAAACTGATCAAATAAATGAATATGTCAGATATTGTATTTGGAATATTTTTTCCTTGATATAGCATGGTGACTGAGCTCTCTGAAGTCCTCTGAGCTAATGTTCCTTTTGCTAAGAACTCATTGAGCTAATGTTACCTCTACCACATACACTCTAAAAGACCTCAAGTAAGTCTTTATCAATGCTTTAGGTAAGTCCTTTCACTGCTGTCATTCTGTCTTAGAGAATAGAACATTGATTTAATTTTAAAATGTTGTAAAGTTATAACCAAATAATTGGTTTGTTGTACGCTGCCCAGAGTCACCTGGTGTGAGATGGGCAGCTATATAAAGGTAGGTAGGTAGGTAGGTAGGTAGGTAGGTAGGTAGATAGATAGATAGATAGATAG